CAAACGAATATGCATCCTTATTCATCCTGATTTTTTTGTGTGTGAACTATACGTCGTTTAATCTCAAAACTACGTGTTGTGGTTTATCTTTTATGTATTGCGTTATAAAGTTTTGTGATAAATATGTACGTGATAGAGAAAAATGGATATCGTTCTTGGATTCAGCGTACAGGAATCACTGTAGAACATGTAAAACTTTCAAGACAATAAAACCATCGCAGGCTTGTTTTATCAGTATTGTTACTACTGACTATATCCATAGTGATGTACATGTACTGTGTTTTAGATTGTAAAATTGCCTTTGTTAGTATTGTTCATTATTGTGAAAAGGATAACCTCCTACAAAGGGGCATGCAACACATACATATAGTTTTAACATACAATCAAATTTAATAATAATGAAATAATACATTGACTTACTACTTTTCCATAAACTCTTGAAAAATATGCTAAAAGTTGTGGACATGTAAGACTACTTGTGACTGTGTGTACTCCACTTTTTGTCATTGTTTCAAGCTACATTTCCAGTTCAGAAAACAGAATTATGCAGTTTTGTGCAAGAACGGGTAGTTTGTACATCCGTAAATGATAAATACCTGCGAGCTTTCAGGGGTTGTGTCCCTGGTCCACACAGGAGTAATGCCTAGGAACCCTGCTGGGGTTCTCGGGCGGGTACCAGACATCAGCCTGAAATGTCTACAACCACCCTAGATAAGTTCTTGTGATCGCTGCTATATCTCTTTTATTGGATATTTTATTGTTAATAAATTAATCGATATTATTCAAAAGTACCTCACTAAGCAATTTTCTCCGTTGTACAAAAAAAAATAAGAAAAATTCCTATATACTTGATGTGGTGTTGAGATACAAATTAATACACCGGAATCACTTTTCTTCTCATTATACATAGGGAAAAATAATATTTTATAGTGCCCCGTGTTGCGAAAAATCAAAAACTACTTTAAAACTCCTGAAACACCATCCGCCATATTGCAGAGTGTGAGAATAGTGTTAATTTTAGTTTAAAGAATCGAGAACACTTTTCTCCTCATTTTACAAGGTGAGAACAGAGTTTCACAGATCTGCAATATGGTTACACCAAATTTAAAATTACTTTTAAAGCGTCTAAAGCACATTTCTTTTCATCACTCAAGATTAGGACAGTGTCTTACAATGCTGTTGAGGTATGGCACCATACCTAGAAATTACCTTTAAGGCGCATGTAGCACTTTCCTCCTCATTCCCCAAAATGATAACATGGTCATACATGACACTATACCTAAAAGTTACTTTAAAATTTCTCCAACTTTTCTTTCTATTATATATGACGTGAAAGGTGTTTTATAGTGTCGCTGTGTTATAACATATATATATATATATATACATAGAAATTGTTTTAAAACAAAATTGCCCCCAGTGGCACAGCGATATGTATGCGGACTTACAATGCTAGAAACCGGGTTTCGATACTCGTGGTGGGCAGAGCACAGATAGCCCATTGTATAGCTCTGTGCTTAATTTCAAACAATAATAATAAAACAAAATTATGTTTTTCCTTTTATGCAAGGTATAAACGAAATCAAATGTAAAATATTACTATAAAACGAGTGACTCAATCAGAATTTGTAAAGATCTTCAGTCAGAGAATATTTTAGGTGAAGTAACGTAATTCTTTCATTTTAAATATGTGACCTTTTTTTTATATTCCTGTAAACTCCCAGTGGAGCATAGGGCCGCAACAACACCTTGCCAACGGAAGGTGTTGTTGCAGTTATTTGTAGCAGGTTGTTTTTTTACGAGGTGGAGTTGCTAGCCCCGCGCCCAACCCTCCCCTTTCTCATCCTGGACTTGGGACCAGGCAAAGGCGGAGGTTGGCATGTTTGGTGTGACGGGGATTCGAACCCGCGACCCTCAGATTACGAGTCGAGCGCCCTAACCACCTGGCCATGCCGGGCCTAAATATGTGACCTAATACCACATTTCGCCATAATGATTAAAATTAAACCTAAAATGCATAGTATGTGAAATGGGTATTATTCTTCAATATGCCATTTTAATATCATGACAGGAATTGAGGATTAGGAAGGTGGTATAAGAGAATAATGGCATTTGTAACTTCATTCTATAGCTACGTTACGCAGAGATAGACAATTATTTGATTGTTTGTTTGTTTGTTTGAACTTAAGCACAAAGCTACACCATGGGCTATCTGTGCTCTGCCCACCACGACAGTTATTTGAACAAAGGTGTTATTTATTATCCGTTAATTTAATCAGTTCAGAAAGATTGCCAAACAAATTTTCTCACGAAAAACAAATTGGTTAAGTTATGCTGAGAAAATATGTATTTTATAGTATAGTGAACGTTTCGGGATACCATTCTTGTGATTTTGTGTGATGGCTTCGATGAAACAGAAAGATAATATAAGCAGCTTAACAAGGATAACACATTTAAACCATATTCTTAGACAATCTACACGCCAAAATATGAGCTTGAAATCAACGAATCTAATCGATGTCTTTCACCTCTGAAAAAAAGAAAACAACAGAAAAAAACGCTCACTAGTAATTTCATCAAATACTACTTCCCCTTGCGAAACCAGCTCTAATTTAAACACAGAAGAAAATACAAGCCTGGAACAAGATATCTGTAATGTTTTCAATGCAATAGAATAAATGAATCTATAAATGTACAATGCTATTTTATTTCGATAGAACAGACAAATAATTTGAGGACCTCAATCTCCCAACCTGGTGTTTACAATACACACTAACCTGGAACTCCCGAACCTGTTCCCAAACGTTCTGCCGTGAGGAAAGGTCTAAGGTTTACACCTGTCAACAGATGTCTCAATAGCCTCACCACAATGTTGAAAACATTTTCAGCAGACTGTAATTCAAGGTTCACATATTTCTTTAATTCCGAAGATACTTCTAGTGTTTTATACACTGATTCTTTCTATAAATTTGCAAATAATGTACAGTACTTACACTCCACCAGCAGGTCAACTCACAACACTTGATGACTTCATTCAGAAACGTAGAAATAAAATTAATGAACTGAATTTAAACGAAGTAATCATGACCAGAAGTCTAAGAAATGGAGAATATTCAGCTCTAAGGAACTTATGAAAAAAGAATCCATATCGTAATTAAAGGTGGAATCGTGTTAGTTTGGTGAAAAGAAGATTTATGTTTAGAAGAAGCGCTAACACAATTAAATTATCAACAATACTGCACACTAATTCAGGAGGAAACTATTAAGAGTTACTGTACACTTTTAAAGCCAATCATTGAAAAACTACTAGCCAGTACTAAATACTTAATTGTAAGAAGTCCTAGAACACTATTTACCTCTTACCTAATGTTCACAAAGAACCCAGGCCGCCCCACTGTTTCAGTCTGCAGCTTCTTCACAGAAAACTAGTCATAATTTTAGCATGTATACCAAGTTATATTAAAGATACTAACCACACCCTGATTTTTTCTCTTACAGGTCATGAAAAATACCTTTTTATCATGAATATCAAGTCTCTGTATACTTCAGTTATTTACAACGAAGGTATTCTTTCATTGATATACTTTTTAGACCTCGAGGAACCAAAAGATCCTCCTACATAAACACTGAATCGGTATTAACATTAGCTGCGTCCTTCTTCAGTGGTAAATATTATAAACAAACTTGTAGTGTAACTATGGGCACAAAAATGGGATCATCATTTGAAAATTTGTTTGTTGGTTATGTTGAAAAAATTGTGGACCAGTATATCGGAGAAACACTTACTATATTCTGTAAGTATATAAATGATGTTGTTGGTAGAACTTCATTGTATAAAGAAAACCTAGACAGTTTTTTATAACACGTCACCCATTTTCACCCTGTCCTCCAATTCACTTACACAGTTTACAGAGAATATCTTTCATGTCTGTCTAGGTATCAAACGTTGTCTCAGTAATAACCTATTGCTACCAAAATATATTATAAAACAATTGATCCCCGTTCCAGCTTACATTTTGAATCTTATCCTCCATAAAACATTAAAAACTCTATCCCTTACTATAAACTCCTAACACTACGCAGATTATATAGTGAAGTTGATGGTTTTACTATCCAATCATAGGAAATAGTACATTTTTGGCACTAGCAGAGACTATCCCAAATTTCTAATACCCAATGCTGCCTTGAAAGCAGCCAATAGACTTCGTGAATCATTCTTTTGATTAGACTCGAGAGATAACAAAGATCACATTCTTGTAGTTCTGACTTATAATCCTACCAACATAAAAGATAAGCATGTAATCATTCAGAACTAAAAGATAATCTTGGAAGATCCTACCACCAACACCATGTTTAGAGATCGACCATTACTATCCTACAGCCATGATACTAAAGTTCTCAACCTTTTGGTACGTTAACACCTAGTTACCATACTTAGAACCCATTTGGTACCTGACGCTGTGAACGACTCATACAACACTTGTGAATATGTAAATAATACTAATCAAGGTAAAGTTTTAAAAGCTAAATCCTTGCCGTGACTTTATAAGGCACATAAGGCCAGTGCTTTCGAATTCCGGTTACAATGGCATAAGCGGATGATAATGGTGACCCATTCCCTTTGAATGGGATACCAATCATCGCAGGTTAACCCCTAGCTAACAGCTGGTACCCATAATACAGTTCGGTAGACTGAAAGAAGTAGGGTAAAGGGTCTTGCTCAAAAGCATCAGCATGACACTGTCCACCTTCGAACTCGTAAACATTCTATAACGAATCCAAAGCGAGCAGCCACTGAGCCACGCTGCTCCTCCTCAAACACGAGGATCTAAATTAAACTTTTTATAAGACAATCCTTTACTTATACATCTCACTGTCTCATCTACTGTATAATATGAAAACATTGTGGACAGCTGTATACTGGAAAAACAAATCGTCACCTCAGAGACAGAACCCCTGAACATGTGAATGACATAAAACAAAACGAACCCCATCCTTGCGGACGCCATTTCAGTAGTCCACAACATCATATTAGTAATTTCTCTGTAGTGAGGCTCAAGTAGGCACCGTCATAGAACCCATAAACACGTGAGTGACATAAAACAAAACGAAACCCATCATTGTGGACGCCATTTTAGTAGTCCACAACATGGCTTCAGCGATTTCTCTGTAATGAGGCTCAAGTATATACCTTCAAACATTATCAAAAGAAAAACCTTGAAAATCGACTAATTCATAAATTAGATATTCTTCACCCAAGCGGCTTAAATTAACGCTTTTCCTTCCTATACTTTTAGGCCCGGCATGGCCAGGTGGTTACGGCGCTCGACTCGCAATCTGAGGGTCGCGAGTTCGAATCCCCGTCACACCAAACATGCTCGCCCTTTCAGCCGTGGGGGCGTTATAATGTGACGGTCAATCCCACGATTCATTGGTAAAAGAGTAGCCCAAGAGTTGGCGGTGGGTTGTGATGACTAACTGCCTTCCCTCTAGTCTTACATTGCTAAATTAGGGACGGCTAGCACAGATAGCTCTCGTGTAGCTTTGCGCGAAATTCAAAACAAACAACAATCAAATAAATACGATAAATGAGTTTGTTTGAAAAATGAAGAATTGAATACTGACATTTATTCTTTCTGTGTGTGTTTCTTATATCAAAGCCACATCGGGCTATCTACTGTGTCCACCGAGGACAATAAAATCCCTGATCTTAGCATTGTATATCCTTACATTTACCTCTGTCCAAGCGGGGCACATTTTCTGTGTACATATACATGCTTGATGATTCAACAAATCAAAATGCTAGCTTTACTTTCTTGCTATAGCTGTTTTCTTTAACTAAAATTAGTTTGTTTCAAAGAAACGTTAGTTTACAATTCAATTAAGATTTAAAAAAAACATGTTGCTGAAGCACTATAATAATAAACGAAATTTGACGTATGTTATTTTGTTTTTCGGTGAGTGAAAGCTACAGACATTGATTTTTTTTGTTCTTGTAATGAAGACGAAAATAAACAAGTTGCAAGCTATCATCCTAGTAATTTTAAACAGAGTAGCTATAAACTATACTTATAGCCTTGTTTTTCTGGTTCATGCTCAGAAGACGAAACCAAATGAAGGCTTAGTAGATTTTTCCTTTCATTCTTTTCCTGTTTTCTTTACTGTTGTTACACATGGTGATAGTTAGCAGTTAAAAATAGCGTTGTTTTACAAATTCAGGACCATTTTGCACCCTCCCATACTTCCCACTGAAATCGGATGGGATGTGGAAGTAACCGCAGACTTCCATGTACCATCGCTCCCAGAACATTTCCGCCCTATTCAAGGTCAACTTGCTTATTTAGATTTTTCTTGGACATAAAATAGATTGGAAGCTCAAAGTAGTGTCATATTTTTTTTTTACTGTTACTGAATGGCAGGTTGAATTATTTCTTATTACTACTCACGTGTACGTTTCCGTTTACAGCTCTAACGATATGAAGTACACATGTTTCAAGTCACTTTGTTAAAAGTTTAGTGACATGCTGTTCTTTGCGGAGTAAATATAATTACAGTTATGTATTGGTTTGTTGTTTAAGTTACTTGAAAAATGTACTCTTTCTAACTTATATAACTCAATGTAATGAATTATTTAATTACTTTAAGCTCTGTTAGTTATGACATTTATCATTCAAAATGTAAATGATTATTAAACGTGGCTTCATTTTAAGGATTATTTAAATTTCAAGCACGTGCCTCAAATGACAGAAGTTTTTCATTTTTTTATGAATGCAGACTGATTTAAAGTAACTAGTTAGTTTTAAGTTGTGGCAGCAGTTCGTGTCACATTCAAATGATGTTTGACCTCACGTGTAACGGATGAATAAATTGAAATGTAAAACTTCTTCTAATGAGTTAAACGAGCGACATAGCTATATTAATTGGGAAACATCCACACCTGATTTACCCAATGCGGCTTGATAGTGTGAGGACATTTTAAATCACGTGAAAAAGTTTGGGGTCTCGACAGAATGAAGTATCATTCTGCTGAATACACGAGTTTCATCATTTCTAACACATTCTGAATAGGATTGGCACAAATTTTACGCTTAATAAAGTTGTTTAGTTGGTGTTTCTTAATGTTGAAATTTCCATTTTGAGAACAAAATAAGTGATTTTGAGCATATGACAAGGCGAGGCATATGAGGAAGGTTTTTGTCAGGTATGTATACACAATAAAGTTGCTTGTCACCTTAACTTTATATTACGTGACCTCTCATTAGGAATAATATTCTATTGTATAATCTGCTCAGAACTGAAAGCTTCTTCGAAAGTTTCTATATATTTATATACTTACAGTCAGTACAATAAAACAGCTATAAATGAAAAATGCTCTAATAAGACTATAAGTAATGATATTTTCATGCGTTTAACATAAAGAAATTCTTAATGATGATCATATCGTAATTTTGGTTAAAATGGTTGTCTTAATAAAGTAACTTTATTTTAAAAGTAAAAAAAAAACTTCAAACTAATTTTGAATAATCGCTTACATTTTAAAGTTTTAAAAATTTGCTCAATATCTGTATTATTAGTTATATATAGATTTTGTGAGTGAAGCGACGAAACCGGTATTAAATACTGCTTTAAATGAATTAATCCAAGACTATATTTATTTAATTTTGATTCTTATGGGTACAGAGTGACTCAATGTTTTTTACATTGTTTGACTTTAGTCGTCGAATTCTGACCATTGTTAAATCAATTGTTTAACTGAAACAAACCTCATGTTTTTTGCGCTTTACAAATCTGTTAAATTGCTTTTTTTCTTCGGACAGACAATAGAAGTTGTTGGCCATAACTTGTTCTAGCAACAAGTATGTCCCATTTCTATAACGTATATTGATTTACTCTGAGGACAGATGTTCAAGGAAATAATGTTTAATAATAACGTCGCTGCTAGATGTGGAATGACTAACATATTTTGTTTTTGAAAGCCAGAGAAATATTTGCTTCTACCCATTGTTTTGCAGACTAGAATGGTTAGTCAGTGTAGATATTTCTAGAAATATAACTTTCCTTTGTATTAGGAGCCTTCAAGAGAAATAGAATAATACATCGATAATAATTTATTGTCCCCAAAATAAGCCATATTAGCTTCTTTGTAGTTAAACTGCATAAAAAATTTTATTAAACAACAAGAAATACTTCAATAATATAATTAATTATATTCAGCCAGAATTCAACAACTGAATGTTTATTGCAATTAAATTTTTTAATTGGTATCTAAGAACAACAAAGTCCACTATGAATAAAATAAGTAAGAAATTCTCAATGAGTTGTTTAACAAAAGTGTTTAAACAACAACAAAATTCTAAACTTTAATATTTTTAATGGCCAATGAAATGATACAGATACAACTTAGATTAAGAAAAATCTTCATTATAACTCACCGGCTTTAACCGTCCAAGATAACAATCGAATAGTCCCGTGGTCATTCTGTGTTTGAAAAGCGTATTGATAATATCCGCTGAGTCGATGGGATGCTTGGCTCCTGTACACTAAGGCGTCTCTTTTTTTTGGAATACATAGTTTCTCTCGCGTCTCATTGGGAAGAGGGTTTTGTTGTGGAATTTCCTTGGAATTGGTAGCATCTTCAGAAATTTCTGTTAATTTGTATAACTACAGTTAGTACAACGAAACAACTATCTTAATCATTGATTTATGTTAAGACTGAAAGTGTTGCGCTCAGTAATCATATTTACATGTGTTAATAAAGGTGTAAAGAAATTATTTGTTAACTTTTGATTTAAGCTCCAAACAATTTAAAAATAATTCTTGTGTATGTTTTTGTGTCTGAAGATTTGTATCTTTGTTGAATTTCGAGCAAAAGTATTAGAGAACTATCTGTGCCAGTCGTCCCTAATTTTGAAGCGATAGACTAGAGGAAAGGCAGCTAGTCAACAGTGCCCACCGGAAACTTTTGGGTCTTTCTTATTTGGTAGTTGACTGTCACTCGAGGGCATTCACAACTCCAAAGTGCGAAGCATGTTTTTGCGGCAACGAGCCGCAAGTCACGAATTTTCAGATTCATTGTTTGGGCATGTTAACCACTAGGCCTATGAAGCAATTACAGTATATAATAATGTGTTGCATAGTTTAACCACAAAATAAGAAACAAAATTCAAGGTTTCTTGAAATATAGATTGCTTCTGAAGTTACAAAAATTATAATTACTATAATTTTGCCGGGTTGTACGTTATTTAGTTAAACTAAATACTTTTTAATGGGTATCAAAATAAAATTCACATACTGTAGTTAAAATTCACAGAACTGACCTTCACTGATACACACTGGACAACACCTCCCGGGTATTTGCTTTAATTCACTGCAGGATTTTGTTTCTTTACAGCTTAGACGACTGCATTCAACTTTTCCTAGCTTAAGGTGGCGAAATCGCAAGGAATAATTATATATATATATAAACAACACTTAAAACAAATTTCTAACAATCATTTTGAATGAGTTAATTTTGTATGTTACGTCTAACTAAATTTACATAAAGCTTAATCACAACACTTGCATCGTTGTATTAGTATTATTATTTCACGGTGTTGTCATTTTAATTAGATTTCCTTACACACACATACGTATATCTAAACGTTCAATACATATTTTATCAGTTACATTCTTAACATGATTTGAAAACATAAATATTAAAGATAAACACATCCTGTACTGTTTTATATATATGACTAAAAGTCATACACAGTCCAACTCTTCATGTGTGTTATAATATATATTCTAATATTTATAATTTCTTATGGTTGAAAATGCACAACTCACTATAAAATGTGTCTGAAAATTAAATATTTATCTTTAATTCAAACCACTATTTATTTATTATACCAAGCGCCTGCCAAAGTGTCTTCTTTACATAGCTTTTCTGTCATGCAGTGCAGCTCTTTTTTTATTATTATTTCCTTACGGTTAATTTCAGCTACAATAAATCCACTGTGACTGAAGCAACTTTATTGCGGTTGGTCTGTTTTTAATTTATAAATGAATACGATAATCATTTATCACGACTCTGTTATGAAGGAAAAGTGAACAAACTTATGTTGTATCTATAATAATGCCCAACTGTTACACAGTAGAAAGTATCATAGGTGGCAGACGCACTATTTCCTAATGTTAAAATATTTTCGGAAATTCTCTTTTCATTTGTTCATAGTATTTCCAGATTAAAAAACATGTATATTTTAAAAAGGATAATATATTGTAACTCATTTAACTAAAGAGTTAAAAAATTGTTTACGTTATATATCCATATGTTTAACATTAAATATTATAAAACTTTTGTTTTATTATGAATGTTAAAAGGTAGTTTGAGTTTATTTCTTCCCGTAAATAACGCGCGTGTGTGTGTGCAGCAAATGTAATACTTTTATGGGGAAATTCCTCTTCTATAATCCAAATACTTTACATTAAAATATATTTACACGAACCTGACACTTGCATATAACACATTCCATCTGTCCAAGCGGTCCAATCACAGGGTGCCACGTAGCACCCTGAGAGTAAATCTGACCTCCAGATAAACAATCTGTGAAATTTAAGGAATAAGTGGGATCAGAACATTACCTTTATTTTTTTCTTATTTGTCTATGATCATAATCTTATATAAAATTAAGTTAACTAAGCAAAGCTAATTTTATTCCTGTATATAATGTGTGTGTTACTAATTAAATTCCCGACGAGACAAATATTTTCAAGAAAATCAAGACTACTTAGAAATCCTAAGAATAATCTTCATATATTTATTATTATTTGTTTGAAGTTAAACACACTGGGCTATCTATGCTCTGCCCACCACGGGTATCGAAACCCGGTTTCTAGAGTTGTAAGTCCGCAGACATACCAATGTGCCACTGGTTGGTATATCATTTTATTTAAGTCAGTATAATATCAATTTTGCTATTAAACTGTAAAGTCATTGGTTAAAAAGTGTAGAACGTTTTCTAATGAGCATAAGTGTGAGAATAAATATACTACGTGTTTATTTTTTTTTCATTATCAGGAAACTAGGTTCCTAAAAACAATGTGGTAATCAACGATTAAGCTCGGACCTTTTATTTTCTTTTGCTTGTGATCTGAGAAAATTGAAATTTTACTAACTAAAGGAAGGTAATAGAATATTGTTTTTTCTACTTGATTTTTAAGAACCTTTGAATCTCTTGCTATGTTGAGCAGGGGATTGAAAGATGACTTTATTGAACCTTATGAAGTTTGGTTCTTGCTTTCTTTGTACTCTGGCGAGATGTAGTTTAGGTAATTAATTTCTTTGCAGTTAGTGCTACTAATGACGCATAGTTAAGATTATCACAAATAAAAGCTAATTAGTCACTATTCAATAAAGTTTGTTTTCTATATTTCGACTGCTTGTTAAATTGTTATCCAAACATTTAGATCTAAAGAAATTCAAAATTATTATATAAATAAGCTCTTATAAGAATGATTAAATATTCTTATTTTTTCGTTGTTATTATTTAAAGTCTTTAAATATATATATATATGTACTAGTCAGAGTTAAGAAGTTTAGAATAATCATAAAACGATAGTAAGGAAACAGACACCGACCGTTAGTAGAGTTCCGCCCTTTTATACTTTCATCTGTTATCGTGAACGTAACGAGCACGTGTTCCTGGCTATTGACATCTTTGTTATTAACGTTCTCAGCTTCTGGTTAGAGATGAAGAGGGAAAAATTATTGAAGCAAAACATATATATGAAATACAGTCTTTCTTATTTTTCAAACTTACACTTTGTTTTTGGAGCTTTATTCATAGTACGAAAAAACGTATAAAACAGAGGATCATCGTCTACATTTTGATGCTTTATTGCTCGAAAATGATAATGACCTGCGATCTCAATCTAGTTTGAATCTCTGGATCACCAATAAACGAAAATATAGTAAAAATATGTTGTGAGATAGCAAATTCAATTTGTTTATGATTATGATTGTGTTTATTATTCATTTATTATTTCCTTCTATCGTTTAGTTTACCTATGCATGTTTAGTTGCATTAAAATGCTAACTCACCTTCTAGCTAATTATTTGTATTTCGAGTAAATATGATGCAACTGACACTAGCTTCCCTATCGGTGACGTACAGATACTATTAATGTAGCAGAAGATTATGTAAATTTATGATCACACGAAGTGTACCCTCCTGACCTACTCAGTGAATAAATACCCTGCCAGAATATTGTGTTTGCTGTATTTTTTGGAATTAAGTTTTTCTTTCAGATTCTTTTTCTTGATTCCATTATTTGAAATAATATTGATATTTATAACATATTATTATTAACATTAGTGTCAAGTTCTGGCCAGGCACGTATTTATAAACTGTGTTTTGGAAATTGTGGAATTCATTTCTAAGTGTTGTTATTGTTAAATAAATTGATGTGTTTTTTTTTTAACCGTGATTGTAGCGGCGTATTCAGTTTAGACCGTTACAGTGTAAAAACATAAACTTTCGTTTGTTTGATGAATTTCTCGCAAGGCTACTAGAGGGCTATCCACCCTAGCCGTCCCTAATTTAGAATGGATAAACTGGAGGAAGGGCATCTAATCAACACCACTCACCGCCAACTCTTGAGATACGCTTTTGTCGACGAAAAATGTGATTGACCGTCATATTACAACGCTCGCACGGCTGAAAGATCGAGCATGTTCAGTGACAGTAAAGGTGATGCGAGACCTTAAACTTTCGTATATAGTAACCGTATTTAGTAGTTTGGCCATTAAGCTTAGCCAACGATATACCGATGGACCTTGTTGGCTTCCTAAACACATTATTCTAAATTATGGTGCATCAAATTCCTTGTGGGTCCATGACTTTGTTGGTTACAGGGTCTTTAATAACATACAAGTTTGGCCATTAAGCTTAGCCAACGATATACCGATGACGTCCATATGGACCTTGTTGGCTTCCTAAACACATTATTCTAAATTATGGTGCATCAAATTCCTTGTGGGTCCATTACTTTGTTGGTTACAGGGTCTTTAATAACATACAAGTCCTACAAAAATTTAAATAAAAGTACCGTCAGTGTTGAAATTAATATCATCAGTTACCTGCTGATGTACCCTATGTCTTTCGCATATGAAATTAGTGATTTCACTTAGAATTTTTTGTAATTTATTTACACTAAATGCTGTAATAGCTAAAAACATATAAATACTCAATATGATGCAATATGTGAACCCCAACGGTAGCGAACAGTAATTTGAATGTTAAAGAAAACTTCTTGAACCTCGATAATTTGATCACCTACTATCACAAGGATCAAGGAGTAGAAATGCAAGGATTAATCAGCAGTTATTTCTACGTATTCTTTCGCCATTCAAAATTATGGTGGACCACAAAACTTACAGCTACAAGTTTACAATCTTTTCACTGCTTTTACTAAATGGAAGGGTTAGAGATATAAAACACGTGTCTCTCGATGGAACTGTAGTAAGTTTACGGACTCATAACGCTAAAATCCTGGGGTAGATTTCCCGTGTTGGACACATTAGACAGTTCATTGTGGCTGTGTTCTAAAACAAACAAACTATCTGAAAAATTAAACCACGTTATAAGAAGCAGGCTAACTGTGGAGCTTTCATGGTAAAACTTTAGATATTGGAAGTGGGATATAAATCAAACATACTTTAGAATTTATGTTTAAATTTGGAACATTTTGGCGATATGCCCTGACGAGCAGACAATTGACCTAACGTCCTAACACAATATAGATATATCAGTAAACCTCCTGGTGAGAAGTACGAGAGGGATTAAATTCTTGAGCAAAAATATTCGTGAATTATATCCAACTGGAATTGTCTAATATATTTGTTTAACGATGTAAATCTTTATTTTTTCTTCATACGTTTAAAGTTACCAGTTAAAGTAACCAGTTCTATTCATCTTGTCTTAATGTTATAAGAAAGTTTTATTTGTTTGTTTTAGAGCAAAACCGTAGAATAGGATAACTGCGCTGTGTTCACCACAGAGATTGAATCCCGAACATTATTTTTGTTCAGGAGGAATCAGCTAAAAACGTGACAAGATCACGAAACTCGAAGATACATCAGTTACCTTGACATCGCCGTGACATTACCCAGATGTTATCCAGTATTGTGTTTTATAACTATAATTGTCATTTTGATGTCTTTAATTATCAGAAAACGTTCGTCAATACGTGATATATACTGTTCGATCTTCCTAGACTGTAGCTCACGAGGTGGCCCGCAAATTATCAACCAAGATGACTAGTTCAGACAAAAATTCTAATCTACAGGCTTTAAAAAAGGTGTGAATATATAATTATACATCGTGTTGACTTCAAGCAGGTTAACTCACGCTTATATTCTACTAAACCTCCACACTATGACATGAAAGCCACACGCCATTGTCATATATATATATATATAGATAGTCATTGTACTGATGATACAGAAACTGAATCTTGATGAGTGTGGGAGGGGGATAATTGGCATTCTTGAACAATAACCATCTAGCCTGAAAATCTGAATTACTGCAAAGAAGTCGTCATTTCCTCCTAGTATTGTCATCACGCTACTTTACCTACATCATCAAGATTATATGCTACTATAAGCAATGGTCATTAGGCTTTTCAAGGGACAGGGAGGGATAGGATGATGGCGCACGAAGCAAACACTTGTTTTTATGTATTTTGTAAGTAACTTCTATTCTTTTTTTCTTTACTGTTAGTTTCATTAACAGTATTGGTTAAAATGTTTAAGATAGGTATTCTTTATCATTTCTCATTTTTATTATGAGGACTATTTTGTATTTTTAAATTAGTACATAGATATCGTAAACCTCCTGAGCTGGACGAATCTCGCGAGAGTATACTGGGATGATGGCAGAAAATATTGGTAACAGTGACAATACCTATTTGATGAATCAATCGATTATAATTATTATAAATAAAAGCATTATATTAAATAAACTACATTCATTACTGGGTTAATTTTTATTTCTAATCTACGTAAGTATGAAGCTTATTTGATCAGAAGTCAATGATAAATAACCAGTTTAGTTCCAGTATCAATTTATACACGTATGTCGAAATTATACACACACACACCTGGTTGTAAAAGGGGCTACAAAAATTGTCTTTTTTTCATTCTTTTTTATAACTAAAGACAGTATTCTGACAAAGCTGTAAATGATTTGAAGTATGATACCTTCACGCGATCAAACAATCTTTTTACTGATTTTCGTTGAAATAAACACGTTGAATTTACCCTATAATAATAATAAATCATAGCTATGTTGAATCATATTATTTCTTTTTAGTATAAATGAACTGGATATTAGTTTTCAGATGATCACTCTCAAGCCGTACAAAATTAATTTTCACTCGCTTCTATCCATTTAAGAATTTTGTTTTAAATGTACGCGTGGACTCTTTTAATAAGGTAGAAAGAACCCGAATTATTTATTTTTTCATTTTAATACAATACAGAAAACTCAAAAAAATTCAGGCAGTACGCGAGAAACCAGTATATTAGTGTCTTAAAAGACAAATTTGGTTTGAATTTCGCGCAAAGCTACACGAGGGCTATCCGTCTATAATTTAGCAATGTAAGACTAGAGGGAAGGCAGCTAGTCATCACCACCAACCGCCAACTCTTGGCCTACTCTTTTACCAACGAATAGTGGGATTGACCGTCACATTATAACGCCCCCACGGCTGAAAGGGTGAGCATGTCTGGTGTGACGGTGATTCGAACCCGCGACTCTCAGATTGCGAATCGAGCGCCTTAACCACCTGGCCATGCCGAGCCGCTCTTAAAAGAGAGTAATACAAAAGTTTGGGAGTAAAACAAAAGTATAGGTAAAATACAATGTGAGATTTACATTATATCAGAACTGTACTGAATGTATACCTAAATAATTAAACGGTATTGGATAAAGAAGAAGAAAACATAATTAGCTCTCAGTTACCGTGTGTATGGGTGACGATTAAAATAGCTGGTGGATGTAGAAAGTTAAAATTGATGCTTCAAGTCAGAAAAAATCGATTACAAAAATTGGTTTCTGCAATAATGTAAGCATGCAAAATATTCTTCCAAACAAAATATTAATTCATAGAATAAAACAACAACAACAACATGTGGAACGACTCTGCTATTTAAACATAACATTATGTAAACAAAAATGTTGGCAATAAAAGTGGTTCATTATCATGGTAACGTTCTTGATTTCACCTACAAAACATTTATTTGTTAGAGACTGATATTGAATGGTGTAAAATAAATGCTATTTTTTTAAGCAGTTCACACTCTGATTTCACAGTAAGAAATGTTATTCTTTAATCCAGTAAGTTCTATTTACTGCATGTTTGTTGGATTAAAAAGGAAAGCTTTTCTTAACGATTAAATTAGACGATTGTGATAAATCGAAAAAAAGGATATTCTGATATCAGAAAACGACGTTCGTCGTTCTGTACAACATTATCCAATAAAGTTTTGTAATTACCTTGACAAGCTTGGCAGCAATCATCAGGGGTTGATATAGTTTTTGAACAGGTCGTTAATTTACACGTCTTAAGACGACATAATATTCTTCCTTCCTGAAAAAAAAAAATTTTGAATTTCATTAGCAGTCAACATCGCATACAGTTTACGTAAGAAAGTTTTTAGTGACAAAAAAAATCAACTACACGTTATTACAGTCGATCACAGATAAAGCAAAACAATGTGATTTAGAGCTGCTTGTAGTTTAAAGCTTTTATAAGTAATATTAGAAATCCGGCGTCGTAAGTATTGTATTCAATGCTTAGGGTATGATAAGCAATGCACACACACCCCTGTTCTCTGAAGCTTTTACTTATTTCCTTCCAAAGAGAATAAGACACTAAGTATGGCACGATACCTACATGTACAAAGTTAGACGAATCCATATTTGTATATACGCTTACATATCTTTTAATTTCTCTCTCATTTCTAGAGGTTAGCCAGGTGGTTAGGGCGTTTGACTGTGTGTTCGAATCCCCGTCCCACCAAACATGCTCGCCCTTTCAGCCGTGGGGGCGTTATTATGTGACAGTCAATCCTAGTATTCGGTGGTAAAAGAGTAGCCCCTAAGAGCTGGCGGTGGGTGGTGATGACTAGCTGCCTTTCTTCTAGTCTTTTACTGCTAAATTAGGGACTGCTAGCGTAGATACCCCTCGTGTAGCTTTGCACAAAATTCAGAAACAAACAAGTTTCTAGAGTTTTTACTATAACGACTTTCGGGACACTAGTTTATGTAGCTCTTGTTTTATGGTCTTGTGCATAGCTAAACACGCGCTATGGAACTCTAGAAGCGAACAATTTGAGAGTATTCTGTCGGTTTGGTTTAGTTTTAGCGCAAAAATGTACAATTGGTTATCTGCGACATTCCACCGTAGGGATCGGGTCCCAAGTTCTGCCTGTGTCTTGTAGAATTGTTAGTCGTAAACAAGTTAAACAAGTACTATCGAAATGTTGGTGGTAAAGAAGTTAAACAAATGATATAGGGTTATCGAGAGTAGATAAACTATACACGGGATGTGGAACTGCTAGTAATAGATAAAATAAGCATGTTCTACAGAACTAAAACTAGTAGAGCTTGAGTAGAGATACCATACACTGCACACGTGTTTGAACAAAATCTAGATAGAAATTTGATAGAAGTTTTTGAACAAAAGTACTCTATAAAGATATGTCTCCTTAAATTTTCACATTCTTGTCCAATTGGGTGTGTGAATTTTGTCAATGCAATTAGTGGACTAATGAAATATATGTAACGGATCACAGGACCAGTCTTATAGAACTGCCAGTAGTTAACAAGCTAAACATGTACTGTAGGAATACCAGTAACAAACGTGTAAAACTTATCATAGTACTGACAGGACTGTCGATTGTGGACGAATGAAACATTGGCTGTAGGCTTCTGGTGGTAAACAAATTAAACATTGATATAGGACGGTATAATAAACAAGCTAAACATGCTCCAGTGGTATGCCAGTAGCAGATAGGTTATTCATGTACCACTGTCCAAGCAGTAGAGGACACAACATGTACTACTGCCCTGCCTGTAATAGACAAGTTAAGTTTGTGTTCAAAGTCTGCCAATAGTATACAAATTAAGTGTTTTATATAGAATAGAGAAAATATTTTCTGCCAGTTGTAACAGAAAATTTAAAAAGTGTCCAGTGTGGCTCCAAGAACCTAAACTAAAAGTTTTTAACAATATTCATTAGAATAATTCGGTAGTACGATAGCGAACTTGGATACAAATCTCTCAAATTAATAATCCGAATGCATTGAGATACAATTTACATATCTCTCAAGTTTAAAAAAAAAACACTTCTTAACCACTTAAAAGTTTGAGATCAATTTGGCAAAACTACTTGTAACTTGCTGAAAGAAATACATATTATCATTAAATCAATTGTTTACTTTTGTAAATGATTCACTGGGGATCGCTATACTAGAAGATCTCACAAAAAATAGCTAAGTAGAAGCACTACTATACTATTCAAACAGAACGTTGTACATTATAATCTTACCTATACCTTAAAGATATTAACATTTTCTCATCGCCAAATTGTTTCTTCAATGAATAGTTCTAAAACTTATAATATTAGTAGAACCTAATGATTACAAGGCAGCAAGTTGTTATAGCCTTACACATATCAATTTCATTAAAATAAAGTCTTATACACTTAATTAAACAGAGATTGGAGTCTTCCGTTTGATGCATATAAACTTACTAGAATTATAACATTTATTCTTATTTTTCGTATGCACTATAGGATTGAAAAAACAGTGTTACTCATTCAGCATCTATTTAAATCTGATATCACCCGCGAGTCAAATATCTGTCACTCATTAGCCAATCATATTTATATACACTAATTTATCAGATCGAAAGTATCAACAACCTGACACACATTAGACTATCAGACTTTAGTAACCATCAACTTAACATACATTAGCCATTCAAAGGATAATTATCACTAATCTGACAGACATTAGCTTCTCGGATTGAAAATGTTACTAGCCTAATAGTTTGTTTGTTGAATTTCGCGCAAAGCTGCATGACGTTCATCTGCGCTAATCATATGTAATTTTAAAGTAATAGACTAGAAGGAAGGCAGCTAGTCAATACCACCCATTGTCAGGTCTTAAGCTATTCTTGTCAGAACGAATTGTAAGATTTGGCCGTCATTCTTATAGCACATACACAGCCCCAATCTGCGGAGTGTGATATTTTTTTGTAACGGGATGCGAACCATGGAACCTCAGATCCACAGTCCGACACACTAACCACTGGGCTGCGTTCAGCCCTAACCTTAAACACATTGATCATTTATACTTGGGACATCACCAATCTGACACTCTTCAATCGCTCATGCTCAAGGTATCACCAACCTGACAGACACATTGAACACACTGACTGGGTTGTTGAGGCTGGAGGCTTGTGGTTGTGGAAGCAAACGTCTCACCATCTCTATAAACACGTCCATTATCCAAACATGTAAGGTATCCTTCCGACATCTGAGGGATGGTGGGTTTCGCCATCTGATGGGCTAAAATCGAAAAGGTTTTATATATGTATTAAACTATGTTTTTAACATAACATACAAAACTTGCAAACGAAAGATGATGCCACTTCTTTCCTTTTCCGATGCATCTTCAAAATTATGATGCTAATTTAGACTCAAAAAAGGGTGGGAACAAGACGTGTGGTTTTTAGAAAAGATCAGTATTTCTCTGCCAAATTCGTTAGGTTTGGTAACAAATGTCTACATTTCTTCTTCTCACCTGATAGTATATACATATAAAACCTCTAATGTTGGTTATTACGCATTTTTCATATAATTCAAATAATGAAACTTCAAGTGTTGCATTTAATATATTAGTTACAGTTTTCTCATTTCACATATGATTTCTACACATGATGTTAGTACGAGTACTTGTGGATTGTTAGTTAATACTTGCGTTCATAAAAGACCTTTAAATTAAGAGAAATTAAGAGGTAGAAAAAAAATCGCTGAAGGATGACTGGGTTTTTATTGCAGAGTAAAGCCATATTGGGCTATCCGTTATGTCTGCCGCGGGGAATCAGACTCCCGATTTTAGAGTTGTAGGTCAGTAGAATTATTGCTGTGCCACCGGGGGATCCAAGGGATGACAACTATAAATTTTGGTAAAAAAATAAAGGTTACTAGGTTTCCGAATTGCAGCATTGCTTCGCAAGATTAACAAAAGTTGCCTGATCGAAAAGTTATAAAAATAAATTAAAATGACAGAGTGAATGTGCCAAAACTAGTATTGGAGTCTTTGTGTCGAAGTTAGAAAATAAAAGATGTGAATCTTAGTTTGAGAAGAAGTGTTTTTTGTTCTTCAACTGACATTTGACTGAAAAGAAGTCAGATGTGTTCGAGTCTTCTTGGAGCCTCAGAATCGCAAGTACAGCGAACACTAAGAAACATAAACAACGGTTGAAACACCTCATCGTTAATTCATCTGACATCTTAAAGTGTTACTAATGAACTCTACTTTAAAAGCTTTCAGCTCGAACTGAGGTAAGGGCAGCTCTGTTGAAACTCTTGTACGCCTTATTCATAGGAGTTTTTGTACTGGTGGTCATTTTGATCTTGGATCTCTCTTTTAGAACCGTTCAGACTTTGCCATAAAATCTAAAAGGATATGCTTGGACGAGCAATCGCAATCAGTTCTACCCTCTCTCCTCCTCCCTTTAAATTCCTACTTCTTCTGGACCTAAGTATTATCATTACGAAAAAAACAAAACAACAACAACATACGTTAAACATATCCATATACTGCTCAGCATTCAATTATAGTCAGCTGTAAAAAAAAGAAGAAAATTTAACGGAGGCGTGCTAATTTTAACAACTATAAAAACATCCATAACAAGCCTTAAAAGTTCCGAAAAATATAAAGCTATGTGAAAGCGTTGGTGTACTATGACCGTCAGCAGACGACTGTTGATCTTAACATCAGCATTCAGTGTCAAATTCTTGCCATCCACAGTAGTAAGTTTTACGCAGCTGTGTTCCATGTATTACCACGTCTGGAAGCTGTTAGTGTGAATGGCAGCAGACATTGTTAACACTAACTGTAATGAGTTAAATCAGTTTAGCAAAATTTCAAAGACGGTATGTTTCAGTAAACTGGTGTTGGTTGATAACTCCATTTTCTCCTGTTTTCTGTTATAGTTACACATCAATTTCACAAAAAAAAGTTATTTAAAAAAGGAGCATAGTTGTTTCGGCGTGACGTCACATATCATATGTGACGCCCCAGGTGGAAACATCCGCAAGCTCTGGAAATGCATTCATCATGACCTTCTGTGTGTGTACACATTCACTTCCGATAACATGTGTGTTACGGTTTGAGATTTCATAATCGCATTGTACCTTAAAACCTCTCTTTTAAAACAAAATATTTATTTAAGGTTTAAAAATGTAATTCAAAAAGGCTAAGCTTTCTTTGTGATGTACAAGTTTATGTCCTGCTGCACCAAGGAGTATGTCAGTGCTACCACCACTAGGTGGCTGCCAACAAGAATAAAAGAACACGCGCAATAAGACCGGGAAATACATCTCGTATAGCTTACCACGTGCAGACTGAATGTAATGATATAATTCCGATTGACAACTTTACTATAATGAGTAGAGATGAGGAGGACTGCAAGTTCGGTTCGTGAGAACCTAGTTATTACAAGGTTCATCAAGATGTTTACCGTACAACTGAGTTACTACAAACAAAAACTACTTCATCTAACTATATTATTAATCGTACCTGAGCTATTAGTTGAATTACTACGGTTTTCATGCTATTAACTTGAATGTCTAAGCTTTCAGTGAAGCGTGGCACTATTTTCATAGATTATGTTAATAAATCTGATACCTATATTGTAAGTTTACACCTATTTAACCCATTTTTAAAACTTTTGGTGCCTAGTAGATGTTTCTGTTCACAATTGTTAAATATGTGAGGTTTATGTGGCTTTAAATTTGATTTCCGCTTAAAATGTGGCTCAGGCACACATTTAATATTTATCTTATTGATCTCTTATGTTTTGAGACGGTAGTTTTGTACAGTATTAGAAATCTGTTGTTTTTGTAATACATTAATGTGGCAAGATTACTGCTATTGTGTTTATTTTTGTTACTTTCGTTTTTTAAACACATTTAGGTTGTCACTACACACCCGTGTTGGAGGAAAATGGATTACAAGTATTTTTTAATGTTCATCCTTAATCTCCCCATGGTTGAATTATTAGGCACATTTGAAAAAAAATTAAAAAGATCATGGACCCTATGATATTCACATAAGATACAGTTTGGCTATAATAGTGAGCTATAATTGGATCACATATTTACCAGTTTTATCTGTCTTCAAGCCATAGCTTGTGGATTTAGAACCATGTATGTATCGCCGTTTGAAAAAAAAAATGTTTCTAATGGCCACTTTTACGGTAGTCTAAGATCGACCCCACCATACTTCGGTGAAGCTTGTCACAATGGAAACTGTAGAGCTTGCACAAAAGAGTTAATCATTAGCATCAAATTCAGTACGATCGATGCTGGAAGAAATAGTTCCAATGACAGCATGGAACCAGGAGCATCGTGCTTAAAAAGTGTGATAAACTCTCATGAAAAATGGGATACATCAATAAATTTAACATATATATATATATATAAAGCTTTCTTAAAAATAAATAGCAAACAATTATCTTTATTTAAAGCACTAGGTAGAACAAATAATTACATTTATTTATGTAGAGAAGACAATTCTGTTCAGAGATAACAATAGATAAAAACAATAACTATAAATATTTTCACACATTAGATCATCTCCTTTAGATGAAACAATGAGACAACAGCCAATTACAACTCTTTGTGTCAAATAGACAGGTATATTCAAACATATCAATATGTACAACAAATAATAACAGTTGTTTGAGTACAGTATAAACTTAAGATAAAACAAAAGGCAAAATGATATTTAAAATTCTTTAAATACAGTATGGATAAGCTTCTTTAGGTAATAATTGATGCTTGAAACCGTCGGTACATGGGGAAACTCCATAATTACAGAAGTGAAGAAAAAAAAAACAACTGTACGTTTCACAAAAACTTCATCTATTCAAGACCATGGTTTCGCCAGTAAAGACATCATCAGGTACAGCTGATGATGCCTGATGTTATTTTCAGAATTAAATGTACTGCAACAAAGATGATATCTTTGTCAGTAACCAGAGTCAGAGGTAACGCGTTATTAAAATATCTTGTTACTGTAATAATATTACTTTCGTTAATAACGAGGTATTATCACGTGTTACATTTTTAATGAGAGTAATACTATTACTGTTATTCTCAGCAGAAAAGAAACGGGTTTGTTTCGTTACACACTCTCTGTCTTACATCTATAAAAGGGTTATTTTCGTTTTCCTAAAGCCAAAGTAAATTTTACTTTCTAATTTCTAAGCAAATAAAATATCTAAACGATGTATCAAACAAATTTTCCTTTGAATAATTGCAAAGACTAATTTCAGAAAATAGTTCACAAAATGGCTTTGATGCAGGCTTTATTGGGACTGAGGTCTTAGTTTCGCTATTACCTGGCTAACTTTGAGAGTGCGAACTGAGGAATCAGATTAACATAGATTTAATAAATTAATTCCCAGACATCTAGTTAAAAAAAAGTAAGAAAAAGTCACGAGAAATGTTTGTTAGGACAACACAAAGGAAAGAAATGCAACGAGTAACATGTAAGACGTAGTATAACCCGCTACTTTTTTTATTAGCTAGTATGTAAGGATATTGTACTAATATTTCTTGTGAAGAGAGCAGTAACGTGTCCAACATCGTCAATAAGCGGTGCTACTTTCTATCTCTTCGCTCCTTCTGAACACGATTATGGCAATAGTGTTTGTGATTAGTAAATTGCATTATTCTATATGTATGATGATTAAAAAAAGTTCAAAGAATTTCTATAGACATATGTGGACGTACTTTTAAATTAAACACTGGTAAAGATGAATGGTTCAAATATTTATATTAGAGCTCAAGATCAAGCTACGACTTAACACCTTGTTATGAGTCATGGTTAGGCAGAGTGAATATTTGAAAATTATTCCATATGCTTGAAAACCGGATTATCAGATCGCTTTCTTCTGGCAAGTTGTACACAGTATCAAAAAGTTGATTAGACATACAACACATATACATCATTTTTTTTTTACTGATTTTGGTATTATAGCCTTTACTGGACTATAGTTCTTCATTAGAAACTGAGACTGTGTAGGGTGAAACGTGGAAGAACAACAACCTTCATTTTAACGTGCCCTTCCAGTGGCTGAGCGGTTAGACTGAAGGCTTACAACACTAAAATTCGCGCTTCGATACCAGTGGTGGGTATCCACAGCCCATTGTGTAGTTTTGTGTTCAATGACAACATAAAGAAACATTTTAATGCACAGAGTGTTTAAACTGGCCATGGAAATCATATAGATAAAAAAAAGCATCAAAATTTATATATATATATAAATACTGGA